GTGTAGTTTTAATTTGTATTTCCCTCATTACAAGTGAGGTTAGATATCTTTTTATATGTTTGAAAGTCCCTTGGTATTCCCCTTTCTGTTAATTGCCTGTTCATATAATTTTCTCTTTTATTCTATTGGGATGTTGGTCATTTTCTTATTGATTTCTAGGATCCTTTTATATATTAGGGAGATTACGCCTTTGTGATATGAGCTGTAAATATATTTCCTATATTTGTCTCATATTTTTGCTGATGGTGTTTTGGGTTTTTTTTTTCCCATGAAGACTGTTTTGCTATGTGATCAAACTATTTCTTTTATGGCTCTGGTTTTTGAGTCATAATTAGAGAGGTCTTTTCCATTCCAAATTTATTAAGGAATTCTCTCAAGTTTTCTTCTAGAAGTTTGTGGTTTCTTAAAGTTTCATAACTCATACCTTTTCTTTTTCTGATATTTTTCCCCTACAAATCTCTTGATCTTTTTGGCCAGCTGCCCAAAGGTTCTTTATCTTGTAAGTCCAATAACTTCACTAGGATATGTCTAAGTATTGATCCTTCTACGTGAGTTTTCCTTGGCATGTGGTGTACTCTTTCAATACGTAGATTCAAGTCTTCTTTTATTTTGTTAGTAATTTATTACGTACCGTAAAATTCACTTGTTTTGTACAAAAATTCAATGATTTTTAGTAAATTTACAGAGTTGGGCAGCTATCACTGTGCTGCATTATAGAACTTTTCTATCACCCCAAGAAATCCCTCATGCTTGTTTATAGTAATTTTTCTGTTTCCATCCCCAGGCCCCCACAACTACTACTGCTGTCTCTGTATACCTACTTTTCCTGGACATTTCGTATAAATGGAACCATATCATATGTGGTTGTTCACATCTGGCTTCTTTCACTTGGTTTATCCACAGTGTAGCATATATCAGTACTTCATACCTTTTTATTGCCAAATAGTATTCCATTGTATGATGTACCATTCATCATTTGTTAATCCATTCATTAGTTGATGGACATATTTCTACTTCTTCTCTGTTATGAATGAAGCTGCTGTGAACGTTTGTGTAAAGTGTTTGTGTAGACATATGCTTTCACTTCTCTTGGGTACATACTTAGAGGTGGAATGGTTTTTTAAGGAACTGCCAAACTTTTCTAAAGTGCCTGCACCATTTCACATTCCCCCAGCAATGTACGATGGTTCCAGTTTCTCCATATCCTCACTAATGTTTATTTCCTCTTTTTTATTATATTTATTATATCGAGCATGTATCTCATTGTGGTTTTAATTTGCAGTTCCCTAATATCTAATGATGCTGAGCATCTTTTTGTGTGCTAATTAGCCATTCATAGATCTTTTTTGGTGATATGTCTATACAAACCATTTGCCCATTTTTCAATTGGGTTGTTTGTCTTCTTAGTATTGAGTTATAAGAGTTCTTTCGGTATTCTGGATACAAGTCCTTTATCACATATATGATTTGCAAGTGGTTCATCTTTTCATTTTCTTAATGGTGTCTTTTAAAACATTTTAATTTGGATGAAGTCTAATTTTTTTCTTTTATGGTGTCATATCTAAGAACTCTTTGCTTAACCCAAGGTCATAAAGGTTTTCTCCTATTTTTTCTTCTAAAAGTTTTACAGTTTTAGTTCTTACATTTAGCTCTATGATCCATTTTGAATTAATTTGCATAAGGATATCCAATTTTTCAAGCACCATTTGTTACAAAGACTATTTTTTTCCCATGTGAGTTTTCTCAAATTATATTTTAAAATATCCTGTTCCATTGTTTAGGTTTTCTACTCAGGGGCTCCATTTATGGGTTTAACAATTCTCCTTGGTTTTCTTCTATATCTGTCATTTTCTCCCTGACCCTCTTTGACTCTATATTTCCATTTTATTTTGGTCCCTTTTCTTATTTCTGCGCCTCTCACTGAACTGTCTGCAGGGTCTCCTCTCTCTTGGGCTCCTTTTTATACTGTCTTCCTTTCTGTGATGTTTTTTCTTGTACTTGTTTTCTGAGTTTTGTCGGCTCACATTTCCTCGTCTGAGTCCTGAGCTCGCGCTGGGAGTGTATTTTTGCTGGCACTTTCTGCACTCTGCTCCCATCAGGCTGTGCTCCCCGCTGTCTGTCTTGCCCTTCGCTCCCCCGCAGGTGACTTCCGCTGCTCTGCACCCCTTACGACTTCCATGGCAATCACGGCTGCCTTTGGCCGTCCTTCTGTGTATGTTGAGTCTGCAGATTATATCTGTCTCTTTGTTTTGCTGAAAATGGAGTTATTTTCCTTCTCCTTGTTGCTTTTGTATTCTATCCAAGAGTAGTAGAAGAAAATTGCCAGTGTGTATCCCCACGCTCACGTCTGATAACCCCAGTCATGGATCTCTCTGCTTATTATTCTAATGATTCACTCAGTGCCAGCATCTGGAACTGGTGTCTTCCAACAGTTCTGGAAAATTATCAGAAATTTTCTCTTTGGAAATTACCTCTTCCCCTTGTCTCTTATACCTCCTTCTTGAATTCACTCTATCCTCTGTGGAACTTCTCATTCTGTTCTTCACATTTTTAAATCTCTCTTCCATATTTTTCATCTCCCTGGGCTGCATGCTGCACAATTTCTTCTAGATCTTCTAGGAAAAGCCTTGGGTAACCATTCTATTTAAAATTTTTTGGCAGCTCTTTATCCCCTTTCCCCACTTTATTCTTCCCCATAGCATTTTCCACCATTTCATGCACTGTATTTTATGTGTTTGTCTTTTTTGCCCCCACTATTTTTTAAATTCTTAAGCAAACTTTTGACTCAAGAATAACATACCTATGGGAAAATACACAAACCAAAGTGTCCAGCTCAATGAATTCTCACAAAGTAAACACACACACATAACAACATCAGACTGTGAAACAGAGTCCCAACCTCCCCAAGGACTCTTGAGCCCCACTACCCCCATCCCCACCAAGGCAACCACTCTCCTAACCTCCAATTTGTTTTGTCTGGTTTTTAACTTTACATAGAAGAAATCATATAGTACATAATCTTTTGTGTCTGGCTTCTTTTGCTTATCATTTTATTTGTAAAATGCATTCACAAACTTGGATATTGTTGGCTGTGTTGTAGTTCATTTATTCTCATTGCTGTATAGTATTTCATTATGCAAATATACCATAATTTATCCCTTCTCCTACTGAGGGAGATTTTGGTGGTTTCTAATTTTGAACTATTATAAATAGTGCTGCTGTGAACATTTTTCTTCACATCTTTTGATAACGTGGTGTACACCTTTCTGTTGAGTGTATACCTAGGAACAGATTGCTGGGTTAGAGAGTGTGTGTACTGGTTCTAAGCTGCTCATTTTCTTGGAAGTTTATCTGTGGGAATCCTCTGGGACTTGACTAAAGTTTCATGCTCCAGAGAGGATTTGTCTTTGCTTTCTCCAGTTACCTGGGGCACTGCCAACCGGAGACCACTTTAAATTTTCTCCAGACCACAGAGGTGGCATGAATGCAGAATGCAACCTGCATGAAGCCCCACTTGTGGTTACAAGTTTTCAGGAAAATTTCCTGCGCCCTCTACCCAGATGCACGCTGGAGATGAGCAGGTTTCCTCACTGTCTTCTGTGTGGTGGATTATGTCTCATCGACTGAGGGTTTGTTTTCAGAGTGCCAGCATTTCATGGTGTATTAGTTTGCTAGGGCTGTCATAATAATGTACCACAAACTAAATGGCTTATAACAACATAAGTGACTTCTCTCACAGTTCAGGAGGCTAGAAGTCTGATATCAAGGTGTTGGCAGGGTTGGTCCCTTCTGATGGATCTGAGGGAGAATCTGCTCCATGCCTTTCTCCCAGCTTTTGGTGGTTGCCTGCCATCTTTGGTGGCTTGGCTTGTAGACGCATCGCTCCATCTCTGCCTCTGTCTTCACATGGTGTTCTCCCTCTGTCTCTGTGTCTTCACACGGCTGTCATCTCTCTGTGTCTCTCTCTTCTTATAAAGACACCAGTCATATTGCCTTAAGGGTCCACCTTACTCCAGTATGACCTCATCTTAACTAATTACAGCTGCAATGACCCTATTTCCAAATAAGGTCACATTCTGAGGTAGTGGGAGTTAGGACTTCAACCTATCTTCAGAGGGGACACAATTCAACCCATAACACGTGGGGTCTCCTGGCAGACTGCCCACCCGGGGCAGCACTAGGCTTTCTTCTCCTGACCCCTGTGCCCTGGCAGTTGCCAAAGAGAAGTGCAACTTCTCCAAGATTTGCCAGAAATTCAGAGGACAAAAGTCAGCTTTGCTTCTGCTTGCCTCGCAGATTTTCTGCTTTTACTTTATTTTTGGCTTCTGTGGATTTCTTCCTTTTACGCTAACTTAGAAATACATGTCAGAAAAAGAATCCCTTATGTTTCATCTAGCTTGTCCCCCTCATTTCAATAAGGAACATCGCAAGGGAACCCATTCTGCCAGCACTGTTTTTTATCCATGCTTGCTCCCCTGACCCCACTCCTCTGCACTGGCAGGCCCTTTATGGTAGATGTCTGCCCACTGCAATCAAACCCTGGGTCTCCTCCTGAATCAGGGCTCGCTCATCCTCGGCCTTGCAGACCACCCAGAAGGGAGGCCCTAGCTCGAAGCGTGCCCCTTGCCTTGGCATCTCGCCTGAGGCTAAGGACGCGGGGCTGTGGAGCTAGACACGTGCCTTATGACTACAGGCTGTGCCATATCAGGCAACTACTTCCCACCTCTAGCCTGGATTTTCCCACCTGTAAACTGGGGACTTTGAAAGGCTGCGTGACACCCCGAGCACAATGAATGCTCGATAAGGCTAGCCATGTTCATCAAAGTGCATGCATTCTCAATTGGCCCCCAGCTCACCCTCTGGGGGGAGGGGTCCAATTAGGATTATTAGCAGATCACATTCATGAGGAATGTAGCTCAGGGAAGGTCCTCTGAGGGGACACAGTGAGGGAGACCTCCCAGAATCCCTCAGACACCCCCACATGTGTCTCTGTGTCTCAGGGAACATCTACCATTACGTGCCCTGGTACAACACCAAGCCAGTGGTGGCCGTGACTTCCTACTGGGAGGACGTCAGCTTCCGCATGAACTGCCTCAACCTCCTCCACTTCACTCGGGACCGCCTGGTGAGTGGTGCAGGAGGGGTGCAGGGAAGGATCCAGATCATCGATGGGAGATGTGGGAAAATGAATCGCAGCCCTAGGAAACCGGTCACTCACCTCGCTCATGCTTTCCACACCAATTGAGATGGGAGTGCCAGACCAGTGCTAGGCACTGCAGACACAATGGTGAACAAACACAGCCCCTGTCCTCCCCATCTGGAAGTTGGATATGCCCCGAGTTACTCCACAGTGAACCAGGGCTGCAGTGGAGATACAGGTCCCGAGAGCTATGGGACAGAGAGACTGGGGGTTGGGGAGAGGACTTGAAGAGAGGATGGTCAGAAGAGGTGTCTGAAAAGCAGATGACATGGAGCAGAGTCTTGAAGAATGAGGAGTTTGTTGGGGGCGTGGTGGGGGTGCAGAGAAGAGAATAACGTGCAAAGCCATGGTGACATGAAGTTCAGGGGTGGCAGGGGCACGGAGATGTTGTGGAAATAAGGCCAGAGAAGCTGGGAGGGGTCAGATCACAAAAGGTCTTAGGTGATCTGTCAAAGAAGGAAGCCACTGAACAGTTGTAGGCAGGAGAGCCACATGGCGCCTCCACCTCAGACACGGCTTCCTGGCACCTACCGAAGAGAAGCCCAGGGTCAGCACTCTGCACTCCTTCACAGTCCCACCCTATCCTGGCTCCTTCCTTCCACCATTTCTTCTGTTGGGTAGTGGGGAGGAAGTGTGGGGATCCTAGCCTTGCAAGGGCATGTGACAGCTTTGAACTGACCTCCCAGGTTACTCCTCAAAGGTCCTGGCTGAAAACAGCTTGGGCTGATCAGCCCTGTAGCCTGTCCCGGGTGAGCCCCATGCTCACTTTCTGTTTCTCTCCCGCTGGACAGAAAGCCAATCTAGACACCCTGAAATCCATGAGGAATCCGAGGGACCCAGCTCTGCTGCCCCAGTGGGAGAAACTGCTGAGGGAGCTGGCGGAGGACTGCAAGTAGGAATGGACGTGCTGCACCTGGGGCTGGGCTGGGGGTTCAGACCAGTACCCTACAGGGCAACCCCGCCCCCGCCACAACCCTCCCCCCACACCTCCTCAAGAAATATGAGCTCTGCTCAGATCTCTCCCCAGCTTGAAACCCAAACACCAGAGTGGCTTCTCTCCCATTCGGGCCTCCCCGAGAATGGCCCTGACCTCCTCGCCCTGCTGTCCCCACACCCACACCTGGGGTGCTCCTACCAGACCAAGGCTCTCCCTGTTACCCACACAAGCCCTGCACCGTCCCGGCCCCACACCCTTTCTCCTGCTGCTCCTTCTGTCCACAACGCCCTCTTCAGAGCTCTGCCTGTTCCGGAAGATTCATTGTAAGGCCTCTCCCGGCTCCACACCCCACTTGGATCCTCACCCCTACCCTCCAGGGCTTGGTTGGCCCCTGTCTCATGGCTCACACCCCTCTCCACAAGAAGGTCCTTGAGCACAGGCCTGGCACACTGCAGGGGCTGGGAGGACGGGAGAGGGGGATGGAATCCAGGGGCCAGGCCCTCAGGGAGCAGGCTTCCTCAGGAGGGATGCTGGCCCAGGGCTCCCTGGGCCAGGCCAGCAGGGATGGGGCAGGATCTCGAGTCTAGGAAGGGCACATTGGCGGAAGGCAGGGCGGGAGGGTGGGAGGCAGTGAGACAGGAGAGAGGCCCAGCCCCTCCTGCCTATTCTGGCCACAGGCGCCCTCTGCCCTGCATGACGGATCAGCCCAAAGCCACCGAACTGGACAAGAAGAGGTGGCAGCTCCGCAGTGTCCTCCTGCAGGAACTGGCCCAGAAGGCCAAGGAGGCCAAGCCCAGGGACATGGTGGCCACCGTGGAGGGCTGGCTGTACCGCCTCAACGCCGTGCTCCCCGAGGTGGGCGTGGACACACCGGCCGGGGAGCAGGCCCTGGACATGGCCGCGCAGGCCTGACGCTCTCCCGCCTCGGCAGCCCCAGATGAGCCTCCCGGACGTGACGATCTGGCTGATGTCCAAGGAGCAGCGAGTGGCCTACGCGCAGGTGCCCGCCCACAGCATCCTGTTCTCCCGGACAGGGGCCCCGCACTCTGGCAGTTTCTGTGGGAAGACACAGACCCTCCTCCTGCAGGTGGGGAAGCGGGGAGTCCTCAGGCCGCCCCAGTCCTCAGGGGAGGAGAGGGCCCAGAAATACCCCAAGGGAGAAGTGCTGAACTCTCGGGGCAGCCCCCACGAGCCTCCCCAAGGGCATGCCCACCTCCTCTCTCCTGGGTCCTTTACCAGGTAACATGGGGTTTAAACTGTCTCCAGAGGAAGGCAGGGGCCTGTGACCAACAGCACGTGGCTGGTGCCAAGTCCATGTCTCTCATAAATATTCCTCAAATTCGTCTCCTCTCTCATCCTCACACCACACTTGTTCCAGTCTCTTGTCATCTCTCCCCTGGAGCACAATTGGGTGCCATCAAAAATATTTAATGTCTATAAGGTTTGGGCACCAGCCCATCCTATCAGCTGCAAGCCATAAATAACGCTGACGGACCAGCACCCCGCCCTGACCATAGCCCCCTGCCTCCACCTCGCCCCTTGGGAGGCAGACGGGGACACTCCCTCCCTCTTGGACATGTCCCTGGCTCCCCATTGCCTCCTGGAGAAGGCTTAACCTCCCTGGCCTGGCCCCAGCCACCTCTCCCTTCATGAGCCCTCTTGGGCCCCACACTTTGGGCTTCCCTGCTGCTAAACCTGCCTGCCCTTTGCCCTTTCCACCATTGTGGAAGGCCCCTCCCGTGCCCACCTGAGCCCTTCTCATCCTGCAAGAACCACTGAGACTTGAATCCTGGCTCTATCTATCACCGCCTTGTGTGACCCTGGGCCAGCTCCTGACCATGTGTAGGCCTCAGTCTGCCTCTCTGTAAAACGGGCCTGGGGATAATGATTGCCATCTCGCCGTGGTGTGTGGGGATCGCAGCACATTTGTACGCTGCATATTCGGCACTTAGCACAGGGCCGGGCATGGAGCAAGCATGTGATAAATGATCGCTGGTCCGTTGTCCACATCACCATCATCACCGCTCTGCTGTGGAGCCTCCCCAGGCTCCCTAGGCAGCACTGCCCCCTCCCCACAACCCCCACCAGCCTCCCTGTCATGCATGGGGTCACAGGCATAACCGCTCTGGAAGGCAGGAACTCTGCATCCCACACTTTTCAGGCCCAGCAGTTAGCACAGCTGAGGCCGCTGCTCCCAGGGCTGAGGGTGAAGGGCCAGGTGTGAGTGACCCGTTCCAAGTGTGTGTGCCTCTCCCTCACCCACGCCCCTGCCCCTGGGGGACCCACACCCTTGTGAGGTTAACCTGCCTCTGGCTCAGTACCCAGAGGGTGAAGGACAGAAGAACACGCTCCCGGCTCACCTCCGGGTCTGCATGTGGCTCGGCAACGTCACGGACAGCAGGGACCTGCAGCTGCTCCGCCAGGGCGAAGTGGTCGTGTACGCGGAGACGGTGAGCGCGGGCCAGCTGGGGCAGGAGTGGCGTGAGGCTGCAGGAGCCCAGCACCCAAGGCAGAGAAAGGCATTCCTGGCAGAACCTGAGAATTGTGAAAGGGGGTCTGATAGAGACAGGTCACAGAGACTAGACAACCTCAGAGGCTGCCAGCTCAGGGTGCCTCGTTGACAAGCCATGGGCCTGTGGTGACAGAGGGGCAGCTGAGTGGTCCCCCGGGGCTGGTCCCTCTCTCCCTGATGGAGGTTTATTGGGAATTTCTCCCAGTTAGTCCAGGGCATGTGAGGTGACCCAGGCTCCAACTTGCAGGGGGGCTTGTCTGTCACCAACACAGCAGCCCGGGACCCCTGCAGACTCTAGCTGGGTCCTTCTGGTGAGTCTGGTGGTCCCAGGGAGGGGGAGGCCTGGGAGAGTCAGAGGAGCAGGAAATGAGGCATCTCCCCACAGAACCATAAACCCAGGGTGACGTAAGCAGCCAGCCAGAGACGTCTCTAGAATCAGAGGAGGGGGAGATCACCCTTGCTCCCTGGGAGGACCTGGCTCAGGAGAAAGGCCTGAGAGCAGGAGGGAAATAAGTTTCAAGTTTCAGGCTTTGTAATTTACTGAGTGAAAACATATCTTTATGGTTCCTAAGTTGCGTGTTGTGAATGGATGTATTGTAATATCTGTAACCAGCCCCTACGCAGGGCTTGGAGACGCCGAGATGGACTGGGGATTCAGGATGAGGCGCAGGGAGCAGGGACTGCGTGCCCGGCAGGGGAGTGTGGAAGCAAAGGCTCAGAGGCAGCAAAGATGTGGCAAGTGGTGGAGCAGGACTGGGCTCCCCAGGGTCAGCAGTGACACAGGGTAGACAGGTCACATCACAGACATGGCCAGGATCTCACACAGGCATCCCCCCCACTCCACCCCTTGGTAGCTGAGCAACCTGGTTAGAGTTGACCTCTGAGCCTCAGTCTGCTCGCCTGTGAAATGGGAGTGTGGGGATTATAGGCAATAGTTCATGTAAGGCCCTTGGATTGATGAAGGCAGCCTGCCTGTGCGGAGTGACAGCTGGGGGACAGGTCTGCCCCATGATAAGTGATGACACAAGCTCCTGGCCCAATGGCAGGGGCCACATGGCCCTTTCTTGCCTGATGACCACATTTCTAGGGGGTGCCTGCAGCCCAGAGTGGGGGGCCCAGGGCGGGGCCCCATGTCCCAGTGTGTGCTGGGGAGGTGGCAGACACTAATGGCCTCCCCTCCCCCAGTACGAGAACCAGGCCAAGTATAAAGACCAGTGGGGGCAGCAGGGGCTGTACCGGTGCCCCAAATTCTCGGACGTCATGGGGCACAAGGCCCTCCCCAAGGAGGATTTCAAGGCACCCCACGGATGGCACTGGCAGGGGCAGTGGACAGTGGAGCCTCAGAGGAGGTAAGGCTAGGGTGCAGGGCCTGGAGCCTGTGTGCCCCTGGACACGCAGCACTGGAGTTGACACTTCTTTTCACCGGGGAGGGCCAGTTAGCAGCAGCCCAGAGAGGTGGGCACACAGCCACTGTAGCCTGGTCCCTGGGGGTAGGGTGCACAAGACAGAGGGCCCTGTCTACCACCCTGCCCTGGATGCCAGGGCCCCTCACCCAGCCTCGCCCACAGTGGGTGTGACTGCCAGGCAAGGGAGCACTCAGCCAGCAGAGGAGGACCCCGGGGGCCTATAAGTTCAGGGAGCTATGCTGGGAACTCGGGGTCTCGCTGCCCCCAGACTCCTCCTGGACACAGACATCAACAAGAGCCAGGTGCTGGAGGAAGTGTACGAAAACCAGCACCGCGACACCACGGGGGCCTGGGTGCCAGCGGCCATCCCCAACACGGATATGGTGAGTGGGGGCTGAAGCTGCCCCAGAGGATGTGGGGGGGCAAGCAGTGCAACCAGGTGGACACCTTGGAAGCTGGGTTGTCCGAGTGGAAAGAGCACTGGACCAGGGGTTACCATCTGAGCCTGCTCCCCACACACTGGGGGACCCTGGGTGAGCCCTGAGGGGGTTTGTACCCCAAGACGGCAGGTAGAGAGACCTTAAATAGACTGTAAGGAACAACAAAAGGGGGCAGTGTTTCCTTCCCAGGCCTTTTTCAAGGGTCGTGTTCACCCTGGAGGACAGGATCCATTGGGGCTAGTCTAAGCCAGGGCTGTCCAACAGAACCTTCTGTGATGATGGAAACGTTCTATACCCCCGCTGTCCACATGTGGCCATTGAGTACTTGACATGTGGCCCTTGTGAGAGGAGGACCCGAACTTTGACTTTTGTTTCATTTTAATTAACTTAAGTTTAAGTAGCCCCAGGAGGCTGGTGGCCGCAGCACTGGACAGCGCGGGTCTCACGCGTCTGTCCCACGTGCTACCCTCCCTCCGCGAAGACAGGGCGGCCTGGGCTGGGGCCGCAGCAGCTGGCTGAGACTGTGTCACACTGTTTTTCACAGTCGTTAGTGTGGTTATTCCCTGTTTATGGTGAGTGACACTGATTTCCCATTGGTAGTGGTTATGTAAAATTTTCTTTTAAAAATACCTTGATTTACAGTTCAAAAAGGCAAGTCAGTAAAAGCATATTAAGTGCATATGCGGGTGGCATCAGACGTAGCGAGTGCTGTCTGCTCCAGGGGGCGGGAGGCCGCTGTGTCCACTGTAGGCAGAGTGAGTGAAGGTGGCCTCCTAGCTCAGATGCCCCTCGGCCCACCCCCTCTGTCCGCCCACAGGACGGACAGCCCGTGGAGGCCCGGGAGAATGTGAGGTGCCCCCAAGGCTGGCACGTTAGGAAGAACTGGACTGTGGAGCTGAACCACGCGGTGGATGATGAGGGTCAGTCCTCTGCTCACCGGCTGAGGCCAGGAGGGCCTGGGGCTGCCCAGGTCCGACACTTCCCCCAGCCTGAAAGCAGCCAAGCTCTCGGTGGGAGGGGCCGGAACTCCTGGGGGGCCCCCACCCTTCCCACAGATGTGGGCCTCTGTTTTGAGCCAGGGCAGGTTGTAAGCACCTCCCCAGCACTTGAACAGGGACCTGGTCATGGAGCCTGGTTCATTCAATGGGCTGGAAGTCTGAAGACCTGGGCTCAAGACGCAGACTCTGCTGCTTATGGGCTGGGTGACCTTGTGCAGACGTCTCAGGACGTCTCTGAGCCTCACCTTCCTCATTTGTAAGATGGGCAGTTGGGCCCAGGCCACCCAGGTGACACAGTGTGACCACACCTTCCTTTGTGGAAGGAAGTCTCCTTTCTGGCACCTTCCAGGGCCAGAGAGACCAGGACATGAGGGAAAGCACTGCTCCTTTAGCCTGCCTCTCTGGGGCCCATCTCTCAGGCCCGTCCAAGCCTCCCAGCCTGTGGGCACCTTGGCACCCCCGGGCCGTGGTCCTGCCCCTGCAGGTTGGGAGTACGGAGTGGGGATCCCGCCGTCGGGCCTGCCCCGGGTCTGGAACTCAGTGGAGAAGACCTACTACACGTGCCGCCGCCGGCGCTGGGCGCGCATGCGCTACCGGAACCATGGGAAGCTGAGCCACGAGCAGGAGACTCTGTCCTTCCTGCAGCTGGTGAGGGGTCCGCCTGGGCAGGGGCCTGGTGGGGCCTCAGACGGGGTCCACTTTGGGCCGTGGCAGAAGGGAGCCCCTGCTCTCCCCACTGCAGCACCACCCCAGCCTGGTTGAGGAGGAGCAGGGCTGGGAATATGGCACATTTGGCTCCAAGTTCCACCTGAACCCTCAGCCGCAGAGCCGGTTCCGCCGCCGCTGCTGGCACCGCAGGCTGGCCCCCAACAGGCACAAGGGCATTGCACCCATATTCCTTCTGGAGGGATCCTTGGTAAAGCCTCAGCAGGCTAGGTGACTCCTCCCTGCAACCCTACCTCCCAGAGCCAGGGCCCAACCCGGGTGTGGCAGACAGCCCCACATGCCCCCTGACCGCTCCGGGGTTGGCAGTCTGGGCCCCAGATACACATCCTCAGGCTTTGGAGGGTGGAGCCCATAAGGGGAGAAGGGTGACCTGGGCCTGGGCTAGAGGAGAAGCTGGGCTAGGGAAGAGCACCCAAGAGCCTCAGGGGAGACTGTCCTGGGCACAGGGTATGGATCTGAAAGAGCAGGCTGAGAAGGAAGGGGACAGGACGCCATCACGGGGTCTGAGCAAAATGTTCAGGGACTCCTGGAGGCCTGCCCCAGAGGACACCCACCCACCCAACCTGCCCTTCATCTACTGCATCTTCAACAGTGAGCATTTCACTGAGAGTCTGTTTGGGTGGCCCCAGAGGCCGTCTCTGAGGGCAGAGAGTGGGGGGCGGGGGATGGGGATCCTGGGGACAGGTGACGGACGTGGCTCCTCTCTGACCCAGAGCCCCACTACTACCAGCTTTTCTGCTACATCTACCAGGCCCGGAACCTGATGTCCAACCAGATCCATTCCTTCCAGGGTAGGTGGCAGGCACCCCTTCTCCCCTAGCCCCCTCGGGCTCCCCTGCTGTGGCCACCCAGCAGTATAAAGAACGTGGCAAGCAAGTGGGTGACAAGCATGCAGGCCCCTCCCCAGCAGCTCATGGCCCTGGTTTAGGGAAAAGACACAAAAACAAAGAATACAAGGCAGGGCTGCTCTTGAGGTGTGTCCCCAGTGCTGTGGATTCAAGAAGGGGGAGTTGTGGAGGCTTCACCCTTGGGGACCATTTAGCTGGGCCTTGAAGAGGGAGGAGGAACTTGCTGGCAGAGTACTGATGAGACATGAAGGCAAGAGAGAGGGTGACATGTTGGGAACCACGTTGCTTGCGTTGGATAGAAGATGAGGGCTGGGGAGGAGGTGTGGCAACTTCCAGCCTTGTGCGGAGGAGGACCCGCGGGAGGTCTCAGATGAGTCACACGCATGCTCCTGCCCCGTCCTATTAGTGGGACTATTTGTAAGGAGCCACGTTGCTGGATGAGGGTCTGAGCCAGGGCAGTGGGTGTCTGCTGGAAGCTGTGTCCTCTGGGCATCAGCACCCACATTGAGACGGCCACGTGTTGTTCCCCGATGCCAAGGCTGATGCTGTGGAAGGACAGCCACAGGTAGCCTCTGCCCTAGAACTCCTCCAGAGGAGCCACCAGGCCCTCCATCTCTGTGACACCCAGGCCTAAACCGTGGTAGTATAAAAGAGACATGGATAGAACCAAATGATCCTTGGCCTCTGGTTAAACGCCCATTTGCTCTGCGGCTTACACTGAAGTGGCCTTCTCGACAGCTGGCAATGGCTGTGGCTGCCCTGCCTGGGCCTCCCTGGGTACCTGGTCCAGTGGCGGCAGCAGCCAGAGAGGGGAGCCTCACTTCACAGCTCAAAGGCACAACTCTCTCCTCTCCTACCACCCTCCAGAGCCCTTCATTCGGCTGGTCTTCTTGAACCACAGCCAGTGCACCCAAACCCTGAGGAGCTCTGCAGCCCCTACATGGGCCCAGACACTCATCTTCCAGCACCTCCTTCTGTATGAGAACCCCCAGGACACCAAAGAGAGCCCACCACTCGTGGTGTTAGAACTGTGGCAGCGGAACTCCCAGGTAAGGAGGGCTGGGCTGGGCAGAGTTGCTGAGGGGTTTTTATTCCAGAGAATACACGCAAAGTGCTCCAGTGGGGCCTGCTTTGCAGAGAGCGTCATGTAAACACAGGTGTTAGCCCTTATCCGGGAGCTGTCAGAATCCCAGGGGAGGAGCCTGAACCCTGCCAGCTTGGCCTCCACGCTTTGTGAACTTCCCCTTCCCTCCAGGGCAAGGAGAGCTTGTGGGGACGGAGCATGTGGTCCCCGGTGGTCTGGCTGGATGTCCAAAACCGGATCCTGCCCCCTATGAGGTGGCACCCCCTTGTAAAAGAGTTGGAGGAGGAAGAGGGCGAGATCTTGGCATCCTGTGAGCTGATCCTTGAGACTGAGGTACTGGGAGAGAGGGCCTGACTGGGAAGTGTGGTGCTCAGTGCTCCCACCCTGCCCCATTCCACTGCCACAAGTTCCCACAGCCAGCGGTCCCCAACTCCAGCCCCTCAGGAAAGGCCTAGGGCCTGGGAACCAGAACACTGGGCTTGGTGATGCCGGCCTGCCCAGCCTCTCCCCTAACTCCCCCACCAGCTTCTGCCCATGGGTCTCTGGGGCCTCCTCAGTTGAGCCCTCTTAGGGACCTGCTTGAGTTGGGGGTGGGGGACAGCAGGACCAGCCCAATGGGGCTCATGCTCACTGCTCTCCCACCTCGTCCCTTCAGAGTCTCAGAGAGAAACTGCCACTCTTAAGTGTTCCTTGGAAGAATGGGGTCTACACACTCCCCAAGAGTATCCAGCCCACGCTAAAGAAAATGGCTATTGAGGTGACCATGGTGCGGGGCGGGGAGGGTGGGCAGGACACAGGCGTAATCACCCAGAGCAGTCGAGCGCCGTGGAGCTCTCTCTGCTGACCCTCCTTGGGCCTTCCTGACTACCTGACCCAAAGCTTGGACCCCAAGAAGATACTATCTGAGAGATGGAGAGAGACAGGAGACAGATGAAGAGCAGAGGCTCTGATAGAATGTTGTAAATTATTCTAATGCCAATCTCTGTAGTGGGGAGGAGACAAGGGCTTTAGCGTTCATTATCGCATTCAAGCCTCACGCTGTCCCTCCAGAGAAGGAAACTGAGGCTCTGAGACAGAGTATCCCATGCACAGCGACTCAGGGGCTAAGTGGCAGAGCCAAGATTTGGGCTTGGCCCTGCCTGACTCCAAATGCCAGGCTGTTTCTGTCTTTTGACAGTAGCTTGGAGGTCCCCATGTCAGAACCTTTGTGCTCTGCCACAAACCTGACAAAGAGCAAAAAACGGTCAGGTGGTCGTGGCACTGGAGCCTTCCCTGAGATCAGGCAACCCCGCTCTGGAGTAAGGGCACGGACAGTTCCTGGGGTGCCTAGTGTCTATCAGTTAGAATGAGGTCATAGGGTACTGGGTCACGGAATGGCCATGGGGTTCTACGGGATACAAGTCAGCAATGAGCTAGATGGCACAAGGGAAGCCTGAGAAATCTGAGGCATTCCCTGCTCTGTGTGCCTCCGAGGCAGCCGGCCTCAGGAACTCACTCCTGAGAACTGATCAGCGGCCAGACGAGGCCGCAGGTGAGGAAGGGCCATACCTAAGGGGCACTGGAGGTCGGTGAAGGCTACAGTCTTAGGGGCCAGAGGGCACCTCCCTCACGGAGGAGGCAGGGCAGCAGCCAGGCCGAGGACAAGCACTGAACCCTCCCAGGACAGGAGACCTCGGTGAGCCCTCAGACTCGGACTTCACTCAGCCGCATGTCCTGGCCCTGCTCCGTGACACGCCATCACTCCCAGGACAGCCCCTCTCTCTGGCCAGGACCCCATGACAGAGGCACTGCCTGCCCTGTGCCCCGCCCTCCTCCTCTGTTCTGCCAGATCCTGGTCTGGGGCCTTCGGAACATGAAGCAGGTGCGCTCCCCTCAGCTCCTGGTAGAATGCTGGGAGGAGTCCCTGCAGACAGAACCCATCAGGGACTTCCAGACCAACCCCAACTTCACCGAGTCAGTCCTCTTCCTCACGCTGGTAAGAAGGCCTCAAGCAAGGGCTGGGCAGCCCTCTCCTCATGGGAGGCCTCACGTTCTCGCCTCTCTTGGGGCTGCAGTTCATGCCTACGGAGGAGGCCTACGTGCTGCCCCTCATGTTGAAGGTGGTGGACAACCGGGACTTTGGCCAGCAGACCGTGGTGGGTCAGGCCAGCGTCGACTCCCTACAGCCCTACTTCTGTGACCCCTGGGCTCGGGACTACGTGCCTCCATGGCGTCCAAGTACGGCCCTTCCTCCTTGCCCTTCCCCAGCCCTCACCAACAGGCTGGCACGGAGTGGGCGAGGCCCTGGCTGCCTGTGGGGTTGGTGTCCCTCCTCCTCACCCTCCTCCCTTCTCCTAAGACTCACGATTGCGCTCTCTCCACACAGTGCTGTCTGTGAACAAGTACCAGGAGGTGAGTAAAGGGCACGAGGTCCCACCTTCCCCCACACCACTTACAGGGAACAACCCTTGTCCCTGAGGAGGGGTGGAGGTTAAACAGAGCTGATATCTGCACCCCCAGTGTGAGGGCCACCTGTACACGGGAACTCTAAAGCAGTGATTCTCAACCGGGACTGCACACCAGAAGTGCCTGAGAGTTTAGGCCCAGTAGCGTAGTGGTTAAGTTCGTGTGCTCTGCTTCGGTGGCCCGGAGTTCGCAGGTTTGGATCCCAGGCACAGACCTACGCATGGCTCACCAAGCCATGCTGTGGCAGGCATCCCACACATAAAGTAGAGGATGATGGACACAGATGTTAGCAACAATCTTCCTCAGCAAAAAGAGGATTGGCAAGAGACGTTAGCTCAGGGCGAATCTTCCTCTCACACTCACACACACACTCTCACACACACACACACACACACACACACACACACGCACCAAACCCTGATAGCCAGGCCACTGACCATTCCACCAGAACTGCTGGGGCTAGGACCCAGGCATCAGCATTTTTTAAGCCCCTGGCCCCCCTCCCAGGTGATTCCAATGTTTTCAAGTTTCAGAACTATGCTCTAGAGCAGCACTTGTCACACTTGAATGCACAGGAATCCTGGGGACAGCTTGAGCAAAAGCTGATTGTGATGCAGTAGGCCTGGGGCCTGAGGCTTGAGGTTGTGCGTTTCTGAGCCCTTCCAGAGTTCAGTCAAGGCTGTGGGCAATGAGAACTAAGAACTATGCTCACCCTCCTTCTTGCCCCCAGTCCTATTTCTGAAGAGCCTTCAATTAAAAGGCCTATGTGAAGGGCAAGGGAGCCAGGGAAATAGCCCTGCCTCGACCCCTCTCTCCTTCTCCAAGTCAGAGATGATGAGCGGGCTACAGGCTGCTGGGCCTCACCTCGTTCACCGCTCTCATTTTTCAGCTCCTAGGTTACCTCTATGAAAAGTTCTGGTTCAAGTCCAGCAAAGGCGAGGTGATGTAGGCTCAGCCCCAGGGAAGGAACAACTCCAGGCAGCTCAGGGAGGTGGGGGTAGCATGACCCTGGCAGAGGAAGGCCACTGTGTCTTCTCCCCAAGGGCCAGAATGACCCTCTTCCCTGCCAGGATGAATACGAGCATGAAGTGGATTGGTGGAGCAAGCTGTTCTGGGCCACAGGCGATCTTCAGAAGCCCCTCAAGTACAAGGACAAAGACTACCACACCCTGAAGGTTTGGAGGCCCCTAGGAGGGGAGATTGCTGAGAGAGACAGAGTCAAATCTGCTGGGCGAGGCCAACAAACCTAGCCTTGATTTCTCTGGGAACCACCAAGTGGAGGAGTTTCCTCACTGTCTCTGCAAGACCCCAGGCCCCACCTCCACCAGCCATGCCCCTGTGGGAACCAGGGCTGCCCTGGGCAGCAAGCAGTGCTGACCCTGGAGCCGCTGACCAGGCAGACGCTTTGGGGCAAGACCTGGGAGCTGGTGGTTTCTCAATCCCCTGACCCCAGGAATGGTCCCCCTCTGGTCAAGCCCAGGCCTACTCTCCCCACAAGCCTGGGTTCCACGCACCCTCCTGCAGGTGTATGACTGCGAGCTGGAGGCTGTGCCCGACTTCCAAGGCCTGCAGGACTTCTGCCAGACCTTCAGACTTTACCAGGAACAGCCCAAGTTGGACAGCCCTGTGGTGGGTGAGTTCAAGGTGCGTGTCTAATCCAGCTTAGCTGCCCATCTTGTTGTTTTCCTCTGGCCCCAGAAGACTCTAATAAAAGCCCTGGCTCCATATGCTTGTTGTGAGGATGGGGTAGGGAGGGCTTGAAGAACAGTTTTGGGAGTAGGGGAGCAGAGACTGACCTACGCAGGTATTCAGGGTGACCTCCTCTGACACAGGAGAGGGCGAGGCCTGCTCACCCCCAGCTCTGGCCTATGCTGGTCTCCCCAGACCAAAGAGCCTTCAAGAACAAGTGCAAGCCTGAAGGATGGGGGGGTGGAATGAGAGTTCACATCAGCAGAAACTGGGAATTCACCTAATGCCCAACACCCCTCCTAAACATGGGGTCCCTGCAGAGCATCTCTGCTGCACCTCCTCTACCCGTCCTTGCGGCCTTCTGTCCCTGCATCTTCAACACAACCCACTCTCCCTGAACTGGGACCAGGGGCACCTCCTGGAGGGCATTATAGAGCTGGGCCAGCACTACCATGCTGGGCTGTCAACACCTTCTCTCTCCAACACACACAGGGCCTTTTCCGCGTCTACCCCTTTCCTGAGAATCCAGAAGCCCCCAAACCCCCTCACCAGTTTTTGGTTTGGCCTCAGAAAGAGGACTTTCCTCAGCAGTGCTTGGTGCGAGTGTATGTGGTACGAGCAATCAACCTGCAGCCGCAAGACACCAATGGCCTGGTAACAAGCAGCCCCAAACTCACAGTGCTCGTCTTCCTGGGCCCCACCCACCCAGGAACCTTCACTCCTTGCCCTGAAACCCAGTGTCCCAGAGCTCCCTCAGGCTGCCTATGCCCAGACTGCCAACTCCCCACAGGCCCCATCTGGTGCAAGGGGCTCACTGCTGCCCCACTGCCCCCTCCCTGACCAGCTGGACTGACTCTCCATTTCCTGTCCTTCCTTCACTTACATCTAACCCCCAGTGTGACCCTTATGTGATCCTGAAACTGGGACAGACAAAGCTTGGCAACCGAGACAAGTACCAGCCCAACACCTTGGATCCCATCTTTGGCATGTGAGCTGCCCAAACTCACCCAGGCCCACTTCTCCACTCCCGTCCACACAGTGCTGGGAGTAAGCTCCTGAAGGCAAAGAACTCTTGCACCTCTTTCTAGCCTCCAGTCCCTAGCACGGTGTCTTACACACTCTAGGTGCTCAACAGACGGCAGATGAATGAATGGGTGGCCCAGTTCTACCCTCTCTCTCACATGTTTTGCCTGGGAAGGGAGCTCCGAGTCCTACACCCCACCAAGTTATTTCCAGCCATAACTAGGGGATGGTTATTGGCAGACAACAGCCATCCCACGCTCTGCTCTCCATATTCACCGTGACCAAACAAGGGGAGATGGGGCCGAGATGCTGGAGAGGGAGGCAAGTAGATAAGTGGGTCCACAGTCTCTGCAGTCTGCAACACCCTCACCCCTAGGATGTTTGAACTGAGCTGCACCATCCCCCTGGAGAAGGACCTGGAGATCCAGCTATATGACTTTGACCTGTTGTCACCTGATGATAAGATCGGAGCCACAGTCATCGACCTTGAAAACCGACTCCTCTCTGGCTTTGGAGCTCGTTGTGGGCTCTCCAAATCCTACTGCCAGTGAGAGTGGACCTGAACCAGGGCAAGGGAGTCGGGGAGGGGTGGAGGAGTGAGCCCACAGCTCCCTCAGAGGCTTGCATCCTGGGCCGGGGAACCAGGGCCTGAACCTGTCTCCACGCATGCTCCCACCACTGGTCATCCTGCAGTTCAAAGCCGTGTTCTCTAGGACCCAAGCCTCCCTCCGTTTCCCTCTCACATATCGCCACAGGTCAGGGCCCTTCAGGTGGCGGGATCAGATGCCCCCAAGCTTCCTCTTGGAACGCCACGCCAAGCAGAAAGGACTGCCTCCGCCTCTATTCAACCCTGAGGACGACTCTGTTTTTTACAATGGGAAAAAATTCAAACTGCAAAGCTTTGGTGAGTAGAGCACACTGCCAGAAAGCACAGAGCCAGGCCTCTGACACCAGTGAGGCTCCAGAATGGGAGAGCCGCCAGAGGACACCCTCCGCCCCGTTCCTCCTGTAGAGGGTGACCATGTCCACTGTCCCGGCTGGGGGTGGGGAAGGTGGAGGGCCTACCTGGGGGATGGGAAGGCTGATGACTGTGATTCCCCTCCTTCCATCCTCCTCCAATCTAGAGCCCAAGCCCCCTACCACTCATTATTTGGGACCTAAGAAAGAACGCCTTGCACTGTACCTCCTGCACACCCAGGGGCTGGTACCTGAGCACGTGGAGACCCGCACGCTATACAGCGACAGCCAGCCAGGCATTGACCAGGTATGAGGCTGGAGGGGCTGGATCAGGAGATAGGGGACCCCATCCATCCAGGACATAGCCCATGACGAAAGGGGAAGGAGAGGACAAGCATTCACAGATGTACACACACAGAAGACCAGCATGCTCTGCACATGTTAATCAGCAGGAAGTTCCAGTGATGGTGTTTAGAATGGAGAGATTCAGAGCTGGAAAAGTCATCTACAAGAAACCAAAGTTGTGCATCAGCTGTAGGAAGTGCTAAGGCACCCTCCCGGCCAACACCAACACTGCCTTAGTCTCTCCTGAGGGCGGGCGGGTGGGGAGGCAGCACCTGGGGTCAGACCTGCAGACATTACAACCCTGGTTTGGCTGTTAATTGTAGGCTGTTTTCTCCATAGCAAGGAACCCAAACAGGAGGAATGAAAATTCCCACAGGCACCCTAATTATCATCTACCTTCCAGCCACCAGAATGGCTCATCTCATTCTCCAAATTTCTCAAGCTGATACAACATTTTAGACACAAAATTCTCTGCTGAGCATTTTTTAAACCAATTCTCATTAAACCTGTTTTCTCAAATGGGGTCAACTTCAAAAGAATAAAATTAGGTCAGATAGTCTGAAAGAATATATTTATTTGTCTTCCAGTGTCGGTAGTTCTACACTATTACTTTTTCCTTTCCCTTTTTCACCATTTTCATCCCTTCTTTCATCCCTTCTTAGATCCTTGTGCTTTGTGAATAGCGTCATATCCTTAGGCTGTGGTTATACAACATAAAGTGACCTGGAAATTTGGACTGATCATCTAGTTTACTCCTACCCAGGGCCACAAGCTGGTTAATAAATGAAGGCTCAATCCCATTCTGGAGCCCCATCCAGGGAAGCTGTCTAGCATGACCTGCTGAATGGCATTAACCCCCAGACCCATCACAAGTGAGATCCCAGCACCATGGCCATCAGCCTCGACGCCATCACATACCACAACCTTACGGCACTGTTCTCCCAGGCGGGAAAAGAAAAAAGTGGAAGCTGGTGGCTGGTTACCTGACATCCTGTCTGAAGTCCATCCACCTCACAGATACCTCTGTACCTCACCCTCAGTGTTGGGAACACAGCCTCAACAGACCTCAGAACCTGGGACAGGGCCCCCCAGGCCAGCATGCGGAGAACAGAGGCTAGCAAAGCCCAGCTAGCCAATCCATCTCCACTCTAGGGAAAGGTGCAAATGTGGGTGGACATCTTCCCCAAGAAGCTTGGGCCTCCTGGCCCCCCAGTCAACATCAAGCCCAGACAGCCTAAAAGGTGAGTGACGATCCATTTCCCAATCACTGCATCTCCCGGGGCAGCTTCCCAGGGTGCGGAGCACCAGTGTCCTCACACACCGAGTGGCAGTGATCCTTTTCCTCTTCTGGGAACCCCGGGAGCTCCCTTCCCCTGAATTCCCTCAAATGCAGCATGACTAGCACCGGCACGGAGGGCAGCCTCCCAGGCCCTCTTCCCTCCCAAGGCTGCAGCTGGGGAGCTATCCTCAGCACAGCCTCAGAGCACAGTGGCTGCAGGTATGAGCTGCGCTGCGTCATCTGGAAAACTGCCCAGGTGGACCTGAAGAGTGACACTTTAAGTATGGACAACATAAGCGACATCTATGTCAAAGGGTGAGGAAGAGGAACAGGACTCTTAGCCGAGTTCCCCACTTCTGTCATTCCTGCGGGTCCTCCTCATCCTGGGGTGACATCTCTCCACTTCTGCCTGTGCCAGCTCGGGGATGGGGACAATATACATAAACCCCAGGTGAAAGGACTTTTGGCTCTAGGTGGTTATTCGGGCTAGAGAAGGACATGCAGAAGACAGATGTCCACTACCGCTCCCTGACTGGGGAGGGCAACTTCAACTGGCGGTTCATCTTCACCTTGGACTACCTGATGGCAGAGCATGTGTGCGTCCTGAGCCAGAAGGTAACAGGCCTGGGGGCGGGGCGCGCTCCTCCTCCCCCTCCCTCTCCTTTGGGAAACCTGCAAGCTGCGCCAGAACATTTAGAATGTGGCCTCAGGCAGAAACCCTCTTCCTTGACAGTCCATCACTGCTGGTAGTGAGCTACTGAGGTGGCCAAGGGAAATCTCAAAGGAGACAGGCCAGTAATATGCTCTTCTGCCATCCTCCAGGACTACATATGGAGCCTGGATCCCACGGTGATGAAGTTCCCAGCCCGGCTCATCATCCAGGTCTGGGATAATGACATCTTCTCCCCTGATGACTTCCTAGGTGAGATCTTGGCATGGAGGCCCGGGACCCCAGGGCAGGGAGCTCCTTCTTGCTAATGGCATTTCTCTGGGTTCAGGGGTCCTGGAGCTGGATTTGTCTGACATGCCCCTCCCGGCCCGGCACGCCAAGCTATGCTCCATCAGGATGATGGATGCTGACCCCAAGTGGCCCTACTTCCTCCATCACAAGCACTTCTCCCTCTTTAAGAAGAAGACTGTAACCGGCTGGTGGCCTTGCCAGGTCCTCGATGGTGGCAAATGGCGCTTGTCGGTAGGAGCTGGGGAAGATGTCTATTGCAGAGGACTGCTGTGCCACATAACTTGGCTCTAACAGACTTCTAGGGGTCTTAGCTAAATCCCTTTTCCTTTCTGGATCCTGGGAAGAGGCCTTAAAACTACTGTTGCTCCTGCTATCTGAACGCAGCCTCCCACCACCTATGTACGGTGTTTCTAGGGTAAAGTGAAGATGACTCTGGAGATTCTGTCCGAGAAGGAGGCCTTAATCAGGCCAGCAGGACGAGGCCAGTCAGAACCCAACCAATACCCTACACTTCATCCTCCCCTGTAAGGGTCCTGCGGGGCAAAGGCACCAAATCTTTCTTCCCTGTTCACCAAGCTGAGCTGCTGGGCCCAGCACTTTGTATGGGGCGATGACCGGTGGGCCTCTAAGTGGGGAGCGAGAATGACTTCCCGCTAGCCCAGTTCAATGCTCAGTTACAGTCAGGAGAGAACAACTGGGGGCAGGGGCGGGGGCAACAAGCAGAAGTTGCTTTTTAAAAAGAAAGCTCTCTGCTCTGGATTACTTGACCTGAAGCTTCCCTGCCCTCCGTTCTCTGACATTTCCTCTGCTCATGGACAGACGCAGCGACAGCTTGTTCCTATGGCTTCGGTCACCTATTAAAAACTTCCTCCGTGTTTTGTGGAAACGCTACCGCTTCAAAATCATAGCCGTCTCAATCATATTGATTATAGGGCTCATGCTGTTCAAGTTTATCTATTCAGCTCCGGTGAGTGACAACCATGGGGACAGGGACAAAGGCACTGGTTGCTCTTGGGATGAGTCTGCAAAGAGAGCGTTCAGGTTGCTACCTTAGGATAACTGTTGCCCGTTCTCTCTAGAACTATTTGGCTATGAGCTGGATCAAACCTGAACTTCGGATGAATGCTCCCATTAACATATTCGCCAATATCATTAATTCACCAAACACCAGCAATGCCAACTCTTCTATCCTCACCACCCAGCATCTGAACCTAAAGCCTACAACACGCCATGAGTTGAAACTCCTCCAGGGACCCATGAATCACCTGCGAGATATTTTTCCAGAACTTCCAGTCCCGCAAGACTAATTCGCTCACATTTGCCTGGCTTTCTCCTGACCACCACCAGCCCTACCCTTGGGCTTCCCACCAGTTCCTTGTTTCTCTCCTCTAGGACATATGCAAGGGGCTAGGGATATTCTGGCTATTATGTTCAGAAACCCCTTCAACAAGAAGGGCAGAGTTGTAATTTTCCACTGAAATAAACAATTTTTGTAACAGAGAGCCACCTTATAATTTGGGGGGTTGAAGACAATATGAGGCACTGAAAACACCAGCCTTTCAAAAAAGACTCACACGGACAGAGAAAAATGTCATCTTTACACACCACCTCTAGCCTTCAGGGTCTCTTCCACTCTAAGAGGCTCTGAAGTCAGAGGAAAACTGAGGGAAAGGGTGACTATGAAGAGAGAAATGGCTCATGTGGAGTAAGCAGCTTGCCAAGGCCCCAGCTCTCCCCGGTAGTGTGCACGCATGAAAGAGCCACACCACAGACCAGGCATCTCCCTCCTCTAGGGCACACCTGGGATTACAGTACCCACAACAATATTCGGCCCCAGTCGTGATAGGAAACATTTGTTTCTAGAACAAAAAGCAAGAGCTAAAGCACGATATATCATGCTAGGTCAGCCGGATTCCTTGCACCACACATTTCTCTAAGGCCAGCCCCAGGCTAGGTGGGAACTGGAAATGCATTTCATGTCTTCCCCGACCTCTTCAAAAAGCCTCAAGGAGCGCCCGAGATGGAATCATACAAAACCCACAAGTTCCATCTCTCTCCTACACACCCCCTCCCCCATGATGAGATCCCATCCTCCTGCACCAGTGCCTGGGCCATCTCAAGAGCCCACCTAGGTCCTCCCACCACAGGGGTCCATCCATTCTCCCCCAGAACTCTAAAAAGACAAAATAGCCATTTGCTTTTTCAGTTCTCCCAGGTCCTAAGGCCAAGCTCTAGGTCACCATTTTTCCTCTGGCACTCTAGAGCTGCTCTGCTGTTGTGGGGAAGGTGTTAGGAAGATCCCATTTTAATCCCACCTGCAGGAGAGCATTACAGCCTGTGATGCTTAATTAAGCACATGGGAAGGATATAAGAAAGTCCAAGATGACAAAACCCATACCCAGCCAAGGTGACCCTCCTTTCCTTCTGGGCTGAGCTGAGGGGTTTCCCAACCCAGAAGGCAGGGCAAGGGTTGACGGGCTTGAGGATCAGGAAAAAGGCCTGGACCTTCCCCTAAACCCACCTCTGGAAGGAAGGACACTGAGTCAGAAGTTCATGTTTGGTTTCCATCAGCCATTTTAAGAATACAGAAGCACATGGCTAGGAGAGCTCAGCGTTCCAGGCCCTCCAGGGAGGCTCTGGCCTGTTAGCCAATTTAATCACAGGGCAGACAGGTGAGCAGCACGTGACCCCTTGACAGATAAGGCAGTGGAATAAGGGTTGACCCATAGAGGATGACACTCAGGCTCTGTCACTCAATGACAACGAACTCTTCCAGGTGCAGATGATGAAGGTCTATTGCTCCCAAGTTTGCAACATGAGAACAGCAACAATTTCTTATCCATTAAGAAAAAGAAGCCAAATTTCCTCTTTGGGGAATATCCAAGCCGAGGCTATAAGAAGAAAGCTTCCTTACATTCTGAACATTCAAAGTGGATTTCCAAAAATCATGATAAACACAAAACATGCAGCTAAGCAGGCTCCGGAGTCTAGAAACATCTCCCAGTGGTCAGATCACATGGCAAATGTTGCTTTCGGTGTCAAAATGAGGAGCTGGTCAGTCTCAGAATTAATCCTATTGCATCCGTGAAGTCTTCAAGTTTCTCTTGACTTGCACACCAACTCTAAGCCAAACTCGACTGAGGGCTAAAGGGACCTAACTGGGAAGGTCATGAACACACCAATAAACCAAGATCCACGCTGAAGAACCAAGGCTAGAGCAGTGAGCCAATGCAGAAACCCTCTCCCTATGGCCACCTAATGAGGGTTAGTGAAACCTAAGTTTGTTCTGCAGCCCCAGGCCCAACAGAGAGGCATCCAAATGTCTTTTCTAGCTCAGGTTGCATTTGGAGAGGACAACGAATGGAGGGAGAGGAAGGCGAGGCAGGGAAGAAGTTTCCATCCAGATTTCCAAGGAAAGCTCTTCAGAAAGGCTTAGATAAAAGGCAAAACTCAGTGAATGGATGGCTGGAAGGTAGGAGGAATTATCAGTTTTCTATTCCTTGCAGATTTAAAAATCAAGTACAAGGGTCCTCTGAGTCCAACAACAAGGCAGCCAGGGCTATGAAATGTTGTTCTGTGATTCTGACATCATAACAGCATATATTCTCTCCATCCCTCTTAGCTCCCAAGTGGAAGGACTGCAAGGAAAGGCACATCACAGCAGCACTGTCCTGGGGTGGGTGGGCTTCCTGAACCAGAGTTAGATGTCCCCTTGCTTGACCATGGGAATGCAGTGTCCCTGCATTCAAAGCTCCAGTGACAGAATCGAGTCCCTGACCAGCTGTTGGAGACTGGAGAAGACCCGCCGGGCTGTGTGTTCAGGCCAGCACCTGCTCCTCCCACACCTCATGGGGGACTGCCAGAGAGGAGGTGGTAGCAGGAGGGCTCAGTAGAAACGCTTCCGGCTCTGTTCCTGCCATTTGTTGTAGAGTATGATACCAATGACAATGGCAAATACGGAAAACACCAGAGAGAAAAACACGATGAGGAAGAGGGCCAGGCCACTCAGGGGTGGCAGTGGGGCTGTCACTGAGGAAGCAAGAGAGAAGCAAGTCAGAATCAGGGAGCCCACCCAGCTGGGAAGGACCAGCCAACAAGCTCTCACGCCCCCAGTTTCTGACACCCCTTTCTGGGAGCCAGAGCTCAGACTCTCCCTTTCCAGATGCCTCAGTTTAAAAACTAAGCCACTCTCCTACTGCTCATCTGTAGCATGGAGACAAGTGAAAAAGCAGGTGTGAGAGCTCCACCTTCTTTAGAGGAAGAACGCAGAAAGGAGACAGCCCTGCAAGCTGTGGGCACAAGTCACCTCAGACCTCCCACAGCACTACGACCTCCCCTCTGACCACGGGACCGTTTCCCAAGATTCCCCCGTGCTCACTCTCAGGCAGCTTCATGTTGTCCACCGAGGGCAAGAACACATCTCGATGCAGCTTCTCTTCTTCTGGGGTTCTCTCTACTGTCAGCTCAAACAACTTGAGGGAAATGACGTCATGATTATCTAAGGAAAAAAGAACAGGGATTACTCAAGCTGCCTCAAAGATAGGTATCTTGGAGTATCTTGATTCAGGCCTCCAATCCACAGCTAACTAGCAGTACCCTCGAAAAAAATAATTGCAACGTCTCTGTTTTCTCATCTAAAAATAAGGATCGAGAACAGGGAGTATTATATATTACTCCATATTTAAGTTTTTATCAACAAGCATGCATTACTTATGTAATTTAAAAATTCAGAGATAATACAAGAATTAAATCGCATATTATATGTAAAACCTTCTAGCACAGCGAGACGAGACACAGTAGCCCTGCAGCTTCCCTTTAATGCAGACAACACGCACGAGCAAGACAGGAAAGGGTCTCACAGCAGCTGTTTCATGGGCTATGGGCAGCACAGAGCTATTGGCGTGGAACACACTTCCCTTCTGGACTATGCCCAATTCTTTGCAGCTCCCCGTCAACCGTGACCCTGAATCTTACTAATAACCACCAGAGAAAGGATGAAGGAAGTAGGGACTGGATTTTTTTCTATCTCTTTTTAAAGTATCATTATACACTCACAGATTTTCTGTGAGTTTTTTGCTATGTTTCGATACAGTAAAGTTGTATATCTTACTGATGCTCCACTTGACCCATCTTTGTCCAGTTGGAGCCTAATCAAGTTGGCTCCTGAGTCCTTTTACAGGAAACCAGAAGTTTTTGTTATCTTCCTTGCTTTTCTGGAAAGTTCCAGTCTTATACATGTCCTGCCTCAGACCTGACATCAGCCATTTCTCCAAGAAGCTCTCATTCCTTTTCGTGGGAACTGGTATTCAGAGACCACAAATCTGAGTGCTAGGAGTGCTCACTGGTACTAGGCTGGTTGCTGGGGACGGATTTCTTGCCATTTCTATCGCTAGGATGGCATCTACAGCTACGTGGACTGCTGGAAACTTTAGCAGACCCCCAGACAGGGAAAACTGGACTCGCCTTCAATTAGAAAAATGTTTTCGCTGTCAGGACTGAGTTTAAACCATGGGACAGGATAAAAAGCCAGGGCAATGCTCCTCACGACGTAAGGGCACCAAAGACTGGAGAGCTGGGGTGTCAGAACTTTCTCAGCAGTTTTCAACAATCCATTGCGTAACAAGTAAGAAAATGTCAACCAGAAAGACCTGAAGACACAATTTGTGCTCAGGGATAGCCTATGGGCACAGAACACAGACTTACTAACCTAGGCTTTATCACTAAAAACCTAGAGCAAAGGACTCCTTAGGATAAACAAAAAATTATTCTCTTCAGCCATTTGTAACAGTTGGGAACAACTTCCCATTTAAAAGTACATCAGGGGCCGGCCCCGTGGCTCAGCAGTTAAGTGCACGCGCTCTGCTGCTGGCGGCCCGGGGTTCGGATCCCAGGTGCGCACCGACGCACCGCTTCTCTGGCCACGCTGAGGCCGCGTCCCACATACGGCAGCTAGAAGGATGTGCAGCTATGACATACAACTATCTACTGGGGCTTTGGGGGGAAAAATAAATAAATAAAATTATAAAAAAATAAATAAATAAATAAATAAAAGTACATCAGGAGGTTAAGTGAGCAAGTACTAGAAACCTGTAAGCTCAAAGAAAAACATGTAGACAAGAACATCTCTTTCATCTTGAGTCATATAACAAGATTACACAGCAAAGATCTCAAGCCTGTGCCTCCTGTCCCTGTGCCAAGGTGAGATCTGTCCCACAGCTCTGGCCTGCCTGCACTGTACTTAGAACCTAGCTAATCTCTTGAAATGACAGAAAGCAGATCAGTGGTTGTCTGAAGCCAGGGTAGGGGAGGAATACTGCAAAGGGGCAAAAGGGAACTTTCTGCAGCAATGGAAACATTCTGTATCTTGACTGTGGTTACCTAGGTGTAAATATCTGTCAAAACTCTTCAAACTGTAAACTTCTGTCCTATGGAAAACATACCTCAATAAAGTTGATGTTTTAAAAAATTAGTTGCCAGGATTTTAAAAATCAGAAT